ACTGTGACTACTATATATATATACAGTTGTAATGATTTTCCTTTGTCTCCATAAAGGGCTGTGTAGAGCTACCGTGCGTTTTGATATACCATAGTGGGCGGAGCAAGGAAGCCAAGGGACCGATACAGAGTTGCACTACCATCCATCAAGATATAACAGTTAGGGCGTAAGAAGTCACAATAAACAGAATACGATGGGCTTTACTTTATCGAGATTCTCTCACAAACGTTACCAAAGGAACTGTGAAGTTGTGATCATCAATGGGTGTCCAATCAAGCAGAGACGTTTCCACTTGCTCGCTCAATACAATACCCACCCCAGCAAATCCAGCTCCAGCGACCTGTGCATCACTAGAGGTGTGCAGCCGGAACCAAGAAGGAAATGAGAGGGGAGTCATTTGAACAGCAGCACCTGCGTCCTGTATCCTTGTTTCTGACGGACAGTATGCATCAATGCAGAGGGAATCCAGCTTACGAGCAAGAGCTATCTGTTGACCTGCTTGCTCCAGTGTGCGCACATTAAAGGCAGTCAAATAAGCCGGCTTTTGCAGTTTGAAATGGGACTTCTGAGCCTTTGGGACTTTAATTGAACTGGGACGTACAGAAGGTACAGCTGAGTGTAATCAAGCAGAGTTCCACTTGCTCGCTCAATACAATACCCACCCCAGCAAATCCAGCTCCAGCGACCTGTGCATCACTAGAGGTGTGCAGCCGGAACCAAGAAGGAAATGAGAGGGGAGTCATTTGAACAGCAGCACCTGCGTCCTGTATCCTTGTTTCTGACGGACAGTATGCATCAATGCAGAGGGAATCCAGCTTACGAGCAAGAGCTATCTGTTGACCTGCTTGGTCCAGTGTGCGCACATTAAAGGCAGTCAAATAAGCCGGCTTTTGCAGTTTGAAATGGGACTTCTGAGCCTTTGGGACTTTAATTGAACTGGGACGTACAGAAGGTACAGCTGAGTGTAATGTACGACGAACAATGCGGGCAGTCCTAGTACTGGAACCTGAGGAGTGATAATTCAAGTTTAGATGGGGTGGAGTAGAAGAGGGAAGAAGTAAAAATTGTGACGTTAAATGCGCCAGAAGTCGCGCATTTCCGTCTACCCACCATGCTATGTGCAGCAAGTTAGGCGATCCGGCTGATGACACCACCTGGCAGTCGGTGTGGCATGAGAGTATTGTTAGTTGCAAGCGTTATGATTGTATCTGAGTTTCCAAGACATTCACACCCAGACGGAAGGGTGATTATGGTCCACTGCCAAAGCTTCTGACTCAAGCCTGATCACAAGCCAGCTGTGTCTGGCGGAAATGCAAGTGCATTGATATTTTTATAGGACAGTTCGCCACACGTTCCGAATCCCAACCTGGAGGGCCAGGAAACTGTTGGTCTAACTTTTAAACATTGATTAACCTGGTTTGAGACACTGTGAGTGTCGCACGGACACCACATAGTACAGTCCAGTGGGTCACGCAAGCGCACAGATCGTCACAAAACCGTCAGGTGACAGACACCTGGGCAGCCACGTGCGGCGAAGCGTAACTTACTAATCCAAAGAATGATGCGTGGAGCTAAATGTAACATGTGTCCCTCTCTGAGGCATTCAGAATTACGCGTCACAATCGCAAGATTCCCATGCCATGGATCAATGGAAGGCTCGTTCAAATTCCATGTAAAAAAATTGAACAACACCGAGTAAGTCATGTCACAGTTTCGCAAAGCTCTACGCAGAGGCTGGCTGATGAACAAGTTCAAAAACAGACAAAATCCAGTAGGCCGGAATACAAAGGCATACCCAAGCAGCCACTACAGATTTGATTGGAGTAAAGCAAGGATGGAGGTGAGATCATTTTGGAGGGAACACTGTAGCCACATACATGACTGTACAGGTCACCGCCACTCGCTAGATCATGACATCTGTTTTTTCTCTTACACTCACAAATCGCGCCACAGAATCGTGACTAACTCGACTACACAGCTCACAGTCAAATCCTAGACCCCAAGACTCGCTTTCATTCCCTCCACGTACAAATCACGACACACAATAATGACATCGACTGACTGACTGACATCGACTGTCTACCGACTGATAAGGTAGCAACAAGTCATGCGCTGATACCCACACACCCCTAAACGCTCATACACATAGGATAACACCATAGCAACACAACACAACCCAAGAGAGCTCCACACGTCGCCCAACTCGGATCAGAGCCAGAGCCGCTCAGGACTCACGGCGCTTCAAGAACGGATATTCAGGAATACGTGTGGCTGCTCCAACAGCGAAGAAGACACGAAACCTGCATCCGGACTTACAACAGGATTTATCAAACTGTACCTCCAAAACGATAAGTCCCTTGTTCGCATGTATACCTGTTGTAATAATTTTACTCAACAAGCAGACATTGTTAGTGCTCTCCGTTTTCTCGTTCATACAACTGGTTTTCGGGTTCTAGTATAGCATTAACAACACCTCATCAACATCCACTATGAACCAAGAGAATAGTGTGGTTTTTATCAAAATACTTCAAAACCGGACAAGCTCAGATACCCCACGGCAAATCAGAAGCGCCAAGATCGAACTTCGGAACCGTCTGGGAGAAAAAAATGATAGTATAGGAAACAATTCAGAGCTGCTGGCGCCTACCGTCATTACAATGAATTCACACCAGACTGAGAAATCTATGAACCAAAATTCGGACATCTTCAGCTGGTAGAAGGAAAGCAAACCGACGAAAAATTTGGCAAGACTTTCGTGATTCTGGCAGTTTGCAAACACCATTTTTTAACAATGCCTTACTTGGCAGGAGGTCCCAACTTGCGCTATTGATCCTTCTACCTCAGAACAGTAAAGATCCAGTTGGCTGACTTAGCTAGAGAAACAGAACTTGTAAGAGACAAAACCCCACTGCTGAAGAGGAGAGCACTGAGTTTCGACCATTTTGTTGCGCGACACTTCAAGGTGAGATGAGCATCAGTGAAAAACCTTCCAACATGCAAGAGCTGGAAGACGTCCCTTCTCTCAGAAAGATTCAAAAAAGCACCAGTTGTCCCACCTTATAAAGGAAAATGAAATCGTCGAACGATTGTCAGCTACCATTGAAAAAGGCTGCTACGCACAGTATGCAAGATTATGGCTAGCGTAGGCATTCTGACGAGAAGAGGTTTTGAGGAGTGGTATATATATATATATATATATATATATATATACGTGATAGAGTTGATATTTGAAGATTTCTCGCTGATTTCAAAGCTTTCCCATATTGCCATCTAACTTAAAGTCCTCTGGTCACAAGCGCAAAACAACTCATGAGCCCGCCCCTGGGAGCTCATGACAAGAAAATACAGCCAACACGTAACTACTTAAGTTTAGTTGTGCGATTGATACATGAGGTGTGTCACACTGCGGCAATCTCACCTTCGATTCGCTACTCCTGGCCGAGTGGTATGGTCTTCAAAAACTAGCCTGGAGGTGTCTGTTTTGACCCACACTAAAAATTTGTTTTAATGAAGCTACATATTGCTTCATCATCATCGTCATCATCGACAGCATGACATCAGTGTCCAACACCGATGCTTCACTGCCGTACAACCATGACTTATTTGAAAGCCTTATTGTAAAGAAAAGAGTAAAGGTGGATGGGGAAGGGACTTAGTGCTAGCTCAACACAATCATTCCGAGATGCCTACACCTCCAGACATCCACCCAGGCAATCTGGATAGAAACTGACAACAAGAACGCCACTGACATCGGTTGGCAGCCATATCTTGCAGCGTCTCCAACCAGGCGCAGTGAGAATCACGCGGTCCCATCCTGGAAGGCGAGTAGCACCGACAGCACTCAAGCGTTTCGTGATCTCCTTCATACTCCTCTTCCAATTAAAGGGTCGGCCTCCCCTCTGTTTACGCCACTCTGAATTGGTCATGGAAAACAGCACTCTCTTCAGGAAACGATGGGTAGGCATACAAAACACAGGTCTCAACCAACGCAGCTTCTGGTGTTGGACACATACTTCAATGGAAGTACCCGTTGCACAACCGAAAACACGCTTTCTAACTGCTTCTGATGCATTTGACACATAGAGCGGTGGTGAAACTTCATTGGGACAAATTAGTTAACCATGAACAATCTAAAATTTGCATTGGTATATATTTACGGCCTTTTTTATTACTTCAGTAATCTCTCTCAGGGAAATTCTTTTCCAGTGCATTTCTCACTGAAATTCCGGTATTCATGTCCCTTCAGACGTTTTCCTTGATTGTTTGATCCACGGTCTTTCGAGTGTAAACCCTCTTAAGGTTGGCGGTACTGAACTTCAGAGTTATTTTTACCGTGATCCCCCCAAGCAGAGTGTTGGTCTACTGATTCATTTCATAACAGGCATAGGTTGCGATACCCTACACCCCATATTTGAGCTTTTACCCTCAATGTTTGGTTCTCACCCAGATACCGTTATCTCAGCTATCCAAGCTCCACGTTGCGTCGCACTCTCATATGGAATACACATGCGTGATTCGCCCTTTGGATGCCGGGTACTCAACTTCTTGGTGCATGAAGCCTTCCTTGACCTGCTTTAACTTTCCAATCAATAATAATCAATAGTCCGTTCTACCAGACATCATTATGTGTATGTCGTCCACCACACACTTGTAAGTGCGCAAATTAGATGAGCACAACGGGATTGTTTGTATAGTTGCAAAAATGGGAAAAGTCAACGATTCAGGCAACTTTTGGTCGATAGAATTCACCTGCCTAGCGGTCACACAGCCCATATGACCCAGAGAAAAAAGCAACCAGCTCTTCCCTCGGTAACCCGCGTAGCTCAGAAAGAGGTGATATCTGACAAACGTTTCCCTCTTGATTTAGCGAGAAGTTCACTTTTAGCACCAGGCTGCTGATAGGTTGGATCTTTTCTCAAGAGGACCGTCATTTTTGCTTTCGCTAACAGTACATGATGTTCTAATATTACACCTAAAGGGTACAATTTATCAGCTTACGCCAGGTCTAAAGGACTGGAAACTAGTCTATACTGCTTCGAATTGACAGGCCGCACAATTGAAAACGGGTAATTTCCCAGGCGTCTCAGCACGTACAGTTTGGAAATTTTTATGATACTACTTGTAAGTAATAAATACTTCGCATGCTGAATGAATACCCAGTTAGCAGTTTCCAGGCTCCGAGGCGCAGTGGAAGATCAGTAAAAGCTCAATGGACACGTGCACATTATTGTTTCAGCGTGCAAATAATCAACGGTACACTGTCGGTGAGTGTTTAACATGTGTGTTACGGCGCTGTAACTTGAAAGGCTAATGTCCTTTCTTTTGTTTGTCGAACTGTTTTGTCAGACTTTGTAGTGTGCGGATGACTGAACAACCCATGATAGGGAGAGGACCGTGAAGTAAAAAAACCACGAACGAACTTTGGAAAAATTGGTTTTTGATTTTGATTATCATGGACAGAACATTACAGAAGTGGATGAAATCTCAGCGATTGATGCGAATAGAAAAATAACACTACTGAAGTGAATTCTGCCTTGCGAGCTTGACGCACCAGCACGAGCCAATCAACGGCGAGCGAGGACAAGGTGAGCTGTCCTATTGGCCAATTGTTTTGTAACCATCAAAGCCGGGCTTATTGTGCGGTGAAAAGCAAAAATGATCTTTGTACAACAAGCACAGGCAGAGAAGTTCACCCGAATCGATTTCTAAACGTCCAACCGGGAGATGCTGTTAACTCATGAAAGAAATATCTGGCACAATATCCGCAATCCACTTCGTGAAAAATGAAACGTTTGTGTACACTCCTGGCAAATCCGGAGCGCCACATTCATAGCCAAAGGAAACCACACCGACAACGTACCATTGGTTGGAAGATTTGCACATCAGTGGACCTCCAGAATCATACTGAAAATAAGAAAAGATAAAAATAATTTGTGAAATACACTCGTTTGCAAACAAATTTGGTTTTGCGGGAGACACACCAGGAACCCAACTGAATCTCTCGCTTGTGATGTTTCCCGTGGTGGGCCGTCGACGAATTTTCAGCAACCTTATGAGTAGTGCATTAAGAATATAAATTAATTTGATTTAAACACTGTGACTCCACAGTGCTTCAAATCGAGGCATTGTACACTCTGTTGGTGAGGTTCAAATAGAGCTCAAAAATTGCATTAAATTGTAAAGGCCATCATCCTTGGCCTGCCAAGTAAACCTTTAAGGAAAACAATGATAATACGGTATACAATCCTTATGTCCAAAAAAGTAAGGCTTGATATGCCTTTCCGGGGACCTCTTCGCTGAGCACCTGAGAAGTCGCCCTACTTATGAGGTGGCGGAAACACTTTGACAGTCCGCGACCCATCCGCGACCATCCGTCAACCTCACGTTCTCCTTGAACCAAAATTGTTCGCAGATTGTAAAATGCAACCACCCGCGTACTAATTTGGTTTCGATGGGGAACCCGGCGGAATCTCTCCTTCATCTTAGCTGAATGCGTTACACAATGGATTCATCCCACCTCAGTTGCTACGATATTCGGAATATCGCAGTGAACAAATGCTTTTTTCACGAGACTCATGGAACAAACTGAAGGGCCAAATGCCGATTAAGGTTACGTACGATATGTTGTATAATCTATGAAATGAAACACGATGCAGCCATTTTACAGCATATTCAGTTGAAGTCTAACATAAACGAGGAACAACGCTGAGAGTCTCTTGTTCAAAACAAAATGGCTTGCAACTGAGTACACTTCACCAATGGTTCTCATGCTTCTTTAAAGTGACAATGGAATCTGCAAAGCTGTTATCGTAGCAACATGAAAACAGCTCAGTTTAACGCTACTACAACTCTGTCTCTGAATCACTTGACTTTATGGCTTGCAGATGCAAAAAAAAAAAATGCTGGGGTGTGTATTCATAGGCCTGTGGCAGTTATATCCATGCCCGAAACGGGACTTGTCTCTGACAGAGCAATACGTTCAGAGACCAACACTCATATGCATACTAAGTCGGCTTGTATGGGACTCACCTGAATCCAAGGTGAAGATCTCGTTTATACTTTTATTTTCAATTGAATGCGCTGTATAAATGCCAACTCATGTGTCACTTGATAGGACATTCAGCTGCAGAACTTCAGAAACGATAGAAGCAGGCGAGTTTCTCGTGTAAACCAGACTGGCATGCGGATGAGTGTATAAGTCGAACTTTGTGCAACTTGGGATCAATTAGAAAATAAGATTGATGGAAACTCGGGAACTGCGCCTACCTGAATGAAGAGGTCATTCGTGGGCTGTCGACGGGTAGTGTATTTCGCAGACCAATTAATGGTGTGAATGAGGGAAAACACATCACTCTGGGTATCCAAATGTGCATCGGGAAAAGACTACTGACTAGAGCTCATTGTTCGCTGGGAATGCCAGCTGAACAGCAAATTTAATAACCGATGCCTCTGTTTCCGGCAGAACGAAACACAAGTATATACTACTGGTTATTTAACTAAGAAGTTTCCTCTCGTCCGTTCAAGGGCTATGGAAAGATAACATCCAAGCAAGAAAACTTTGTGTGGCATGCATGGTTGCTGGAAGCTCTCAGACAACCTGCGATCGGTTTCACTCGTCTTGGAGCTCATCAGGTAGGCGGATTCCCGGGTTCCCGTCAACCTCATGTCCTACTTGGATCCAGATTTCGACAAATGCCATCGTTTGTATATAACTTTGGTTTTGACATCAGACTTGATTAAATCTCACGTTCAAGATGTTAGAAACCTCTCGATTTCGGGTTGAAGTTGATGGAAACTCGAGAACCACGCCTATCTGATGAATCCCAAGTGGGGGCAAAACTGGCCATGGGATGTCGAAGGGCCTTAACAAGCTTACAATATCTTGAATGTCGCACCAACTGGATTATGAGTCGGCATAGTGCAGCAAACTGAGTTGAAGCGGATCATCATAAACGAAAGATTCAGCTTGAGTCGGCTATGTCTCCTGTCAAACCAAATTAGTGTGCAAATGAGAGTAGTCGTAAAAATCTTTGTACATGCAGAGAAATGTATAGTCAAATCAATTCACACGGATTTCACTGAAAGCAAGAACATCCAATGATTTCTACTGAGTACGCGACTTTTGAGTAGTCATGCATGCAACATTTGCTCAGGTTGTAGAAGCGCGCAACGCTTCATGCTCTAATTTGCAAATTCAAAGTGAGATTTCGACTCATAAAACCTCCACAGACCCCTTTAGTTAAGCAGATGTTCTGAGACATGGCAAGGGTTATAACCCCGAAACTTCTCGAAGACATATAGTGGGTTTGATAATTGGCCAGATGACTATTTGCGCATACAGAGAGGATAATTGTATTGAAAATATGCAAGCAAAACATTGATCCAAGTTTAGTTGTTTGCATTAATGAAGACGGAGGTGAACGATGGCGTGACACGATCGAGTTGTCACAGGGAAATTCTTCAATTTCTAATGAAGGGCTGACTTCTAACCATCACCATGACAAATTTGGCAAAAAAACAGTAGAAATAGATGAATACATTGGGCCAAACCGAGTAACGGAACCGTTTTGAACGTTAACTATTTCTTCCCCTCTGGTTGGTGTTCAGCCGGGGAGGGATGCGACTGAACGACAGTAGCCCAAATCGAATTAGTGTAAACGTGTCTCTCGCAGGCTACCGGCACATTTTGTCGTCATCACGGGCAATGAGGAATTAAAACTGTGAAACACGAAAGAATCGGCTTGACCTAACCATGGTTTCAAACTTATTCCAACCCGCCTATCCAAGTAAGCGGGAGATGCAATACCGAATCAGTTCGTCAACCGTGGTTTTACCTGGCTCCAGTAGAGGTCTTTCAGCCCAGCATATTTCGGAGTAATGACTGCGAGGTGAAACCGATCCACCAGAATACATTAATTTATCAATTGTGCACCGGTATTTTTCGAGAAATTTAGTGTCCACCATCCTCAGAATTATCCATTTAACGATGCATTTGGGCGCGGGAGACGATTCTGAACTACTTGTGACCAGAAATGGGCAAACTTTATGAACGCCTTCGGAAGCATGCTATATAAAGATGAAAAATCTACACCAATTTGAAAAATCTCCCCAAATTGGACAGCTGTTGTTTTGTTTGCACTATTCTTCCTCTATTTTTGGAAGGTTTTTGTGGCTTTTCGTGTTCAAGGTGACAGCCTCGAGTACAGAGGAGGACATTCACCATTTGAAGGGTAAACTTATTGTTTCTGGAGAATGCGGGGAGAAAAAACTATAGCTTCTGGGAAGATGCCCATGTAAGTGCATTTTCATCACTATCGTTGTGCAATCGGTTTGACCACGGATGGTGTTCACCTAGCCCTCATTCAAACTATCTCGATCGATCGGATTTCCGTCCATTTCGTGGTAAACTTTCTTTACTGGTAAATCTTCTTACCTGACAGGTATCTCTCCCTCCTCCAGGAGCTCCTGCACAAAGCATCATGTCTTGTATTTCCAGATAAGGCGCTTCGTACCTCTGTCTCGCTTGCTCGTATGTCTTCCGGCATTCGTTTTTAGACATGAGTGATAAGGATACGTGGTGCAGGACTTTGGTGATATTCGGGGCACCTGAAAAAGCGGAAAAGTTGATCCAGATGAAATAGCAGTCTCCCTGAAGGTGGAGCAAGAAGTGACTGAATTTCCTACAAAAATATATACAGAAACAAAGTAGCGGTGGGGCTGAGTTTTTAAACGATGATGTGGTGTGCGGCGAGGTATGTTGATTGATTGATTGGTTGATTGATTGGTTCCAGTTAATAGACTTATTAGCCATACCAGGTTTTGAACGAGGTGCTGAGTAGTGCTACCCTCTCAAGATAATGAACATACCGGATTCCTCTTGTCCGAGGAGGCCGTGCAAGGACGACATAGGTGAACTAACTGCCTATTCCGGATATCCGTCAGCAACTAATGTGAGCTGATCGCAAAGCACGCAGCCCTCGGATTTTCTTTTCTGAGTGAGTTTTAACAACCGAAAACCGAAAGTACTTTACTTATCTTACCCATAGACGTGTTTTTTGGAGAGGGTCTTCCAGGGACAACCACGCTCGCCGAAAGGCAACGTTCAAAAATCCTGGTAGAAGCCACTCTGAGGAATATATGCTGACATAAACAAATGTACAACCGTGCCAGAAATGATCTTTTCGGGCTCATCAGATTTTAGTTGAAGGAAGACGACACGCACTATGTGGTAAATTATTCGTCTGTTGGGAATGGCTTTACCAAAGTTCCG